CTGTATGCGCAGTTCCAGGTGTACCCAGGTAGGCCAGGCAAACAGTCATATACCTGCTTATTGAGAGGACTGATAATTTTCAACAAAGTTTCATGACGCACTTCATGAAAAATGCGTCATGAGGTCTCGGACCAATGGAATTACTGACTATAGAGTCGAGTGACTGGTATAAATAACTTATGCTTGTTCCTAGTATTTACAGAATGTCATGACTATTTTCAATATAACTATTTTTGTTTTTTACTGGCGTATAAAATTTATACTGGCGTTTAAACAACCTGACAGCCCGAAAACGCGTGACTTATTTTAATTTGCCATTGTGTGCGTTAGCTAATGATGTATATGTCATTAGCTAATGCACAACATGATAAATGATTTCAGTGCAACCATAATACTGCAACTAAAAAATTCTAAGTATTATGGAGGGTAAGCGCAGCAGTTAAGGAACCTTTTAGCTTTAAAAAAATTATTATAGTACACGAATCTGTATGACTTCAAAAATAAAATAAGTAATAAAAATCATAATTAAAATTATTATTTATTTAATAAAATGTAACATTTATTTACATAACATAATGTAAAATATTTTATTACATACAATATTAAAGTCCTCCCCGTGGTATCGTGCCAAGAACGCTGGCTGCGTTTCCCCGCTGAATGGCTATACTTAGCCTTTGAGCGAGAAAAGAACCAGCCCTCTTATCACCAGCAGCAACGACCAGTCACAGATAGAGTTCTTTTAGGAACTTCACCGTTTTGTTATAAGTACCGTATATACTTTCATATGCATTTAGTAAAAAGCTGTTATTTTAACATTACAAACAGACACTTCAATTTTATTTATTTGTATAGATAAGTCACTGACACTATGCACGCAAGCAAGGAAAGTAGGCAATGCAACGCTAGAAAGATTTCTCACACCAATACCACCAAATTATATAAGTACAGTAGCTCGAGTTCATGCTGTTGTATTGAAAGTTACATTTACAATTTATTGTATAACTATTTTAAGATTATTATCAATATCTTTTAAAATATCCGAACATTTCCAGACTGGACTCGAGCGGAGTAAGTATGTAAATCTAGGTACAAGGAGATAATATTTTAAAATAGTAAGAGCAATGTGGGGGATTAAGTTACATACAATTTAACAACTTGGTTTAAAAACTGATCAAATTTTGTTTACCTAGAAGGTATAGCGACTCCGTACTGACAGTTTTTATTCCTGAAGAATTATGATTGAAAATTTGAATTAAAGTGTCTCTGTTAGAACTAGATAAATTATTTGAAAAAATATTTCACACTTATTACTATTTGGTTCAAGACCAATATTTTTGAAATTTCGAAAAATATGAATAAGATCACTCACGTTATCTGCTATACCACCCAGTGTACTGTCGTCCAGGTACCAAACATTCAGCTTGGATTTCAATATTTTGAAATAATGTGTTGAATTCCCAAACTGAAAACTGCTGGACCTAGGACCTGCTAAACACCGACAGCAGAATAATATGGTTTTCGTAAAATAAGTTAGTATTTCGATTGTAACATTTCCAAACGTAATGATAAATTTCGAGGGTATTCTTAGCTACTTCTGTCAGCAGGGTTATTCTACAGATAGAGTTAAAAGAATTCCTTCATAAGAACATCTGCATCAGTTTGTTAAAAATGTACGCACTAAATGTACCGCTGCCTCACAGCCCCCTCTAATGTCAAAGCCTAGTTGAGTAGGCTGAAATTTTGTCTTAAGGTTAGAGATTATGTGCATGCACGCAAATTTTGAAGTTAAGCGTTAATAAAATCAAATCTTATAATATAATGTTACCGGGAATAAGCTGAACGCGAAATGTAGCAAAATGTAAAAAATCTTATGTTATCTTTCACATATAAGTAATTTTTAATCACATTATTGCTATTTGCTTCTTTTTAAACTTATAAATTACAGTAATAGCGGTCGTGTTGTTTCGGATTTGCTTACCAACATAGGGGTTCGTCCTCGTTCAATATGCAGATCGATCTAGCGACTGATCCAAGCGTGTATCCAAATTGTCGCTGTCATCGATCGATACTGTTATAATGTATATACGTGTGTGTGAAATTGTTTTAATTGTTATGTGTGAGTTTCGTAGCGACAGACCATTGTTTCTGTGTCCGGGAAATCCCCCCGCAAAAAATGACAGACAGTTCTGTATCGGAGAAAAATGCTATGGCTACTCCTCTGCAGTCCGCTGGTGGCCCGTGTTGCTCTATGGTCCAGACAGACAAACAGACAAATTAAAAAAATGCTTATTTATGTCTTAGTAGCACCATCAAATACCTCATAGAGGCAGTTATTTCGTTAATATAGACATACACTTCAATTTTATTCATATGTATAATATAAATATAGATTAAAGCGCCTTATTTACTGTCCATCTTGCTGTACGTCCCGTCAAGATCATGCACTACGCATGACACAAAACGACAGGCCATGACGTACATCAAGCCGTTTTTTATGTTTATTATATTATATATTATCGTTTTATGTCGTGCGTCGTGCATTAAAAAACTATGTCTGTGAATAAATCCAGTATTATAAATATGGGTACTGTGTTACAACCGTACGTTTTATTCATTAAATTTTAAGATTCTATTAAACATAATTTGCAAAGTTATAAATCCAATATCAAGGAACGTTGTAAATTTTATCTTAAATCGATTGAAGAGTGTTATACATTCCTATCGCTTTCATGACATGAAACTTGATACCCGATCAGATATCAATTTTTTCTACTTTAAATTGTTGCTACTTTAGCTTTCAACTCAATGAACCGCAAAGTTGAGATTTAGTGTAAATATCAATTACTAACAATGGATGCCGTCAGTATAATACAAATATATATCATATATCATGGTAATAAAAATACAACATGAGCGAACTCTTCTTATCGGTGATGTAACATACTTTTGTAACTTTTTTCTTTGAGAATTTTTATTAGTTCAGCTTAGAACAGTTTTTTCATGACGAAATATCGATCTAGGTATACCAACTGCGCTTTAGCAAGGATGAGATATGTCAGACTTCATGATAATGAATTATAAAATCCACCAAGCGCCAGCTACCCATTGGCAGCCCCTCCTCGGGAAAGTTCTTTCCTCCTGTTTGGTATTGGAGAGCAAACGGAGTATAATTTTTCCTTGGTATGATGCATCCCGTGATAAATTTGAATATTAACTGTAACTACGTATGCGTAGGAAATATGATAGCGTAAGCAATCTAATTCTTAATTTTAAATTTTCTCAATATAATACTCATCTCAATCTAAATTTCTTGGTAATTAATAGTTCTACTTCTATATAATGAATTTTTATAGGATAAGGGTTACAAGCGAGCACACAGTCCACCTGATGGTAAGTGTTTGCTGTGGCCCATAGACATCTACATCTATCCTCGTTTGCGAATCAAAATGCAGATGCGTTGTCACCCGTGAGGACTGAGATGGAATACCTCTTTTCCAGTAAATAGTATCTCCGGTTCTGTACACTCACCATACGAAACATAGCAGCAATTAGCTGCTATTTTACGATGGTATTCTGTGAGAGCGTGGTCCTTCCCCGGTCGAGCCGGCCCATTCGTGCTTCAACTATTACAATTAATATAGCTGCAGCAGGGCTCTATTACGTATAAATATAATTATCTAATCGTATAATGATATCGGCAACGATGTGCTTCAATTTTTCATTTTAAATATTTTTACCTATTTACTAGGCAATTATTCTGCATCATGGAGGAGTTTTATATCGATAAATTACATTATGAACATACAGCCAAGCCCAAATCAATTATTTGTTGGTTATACCCATACTTGCTCCGTATAGTAGTCTAACCAGTGTAGTGGCCTGGATTACCCACAGGCCCACAGCCATTGCTTAACCAGTACACTTCCGAGTTATAGTTCGCCGAGCGTCACTATCCTTCACCATCACTGGTGTTCGATGTTCATACTATTTGGAGTGTGGACTCTTATCCACTCTGTGTGAAGTTTGGATAATAACAAAGACGAGCGAGCGTGCGGTGATTATTGGCAAATCACACTATCTTGTATTCGCTCGCTTTTGTTCGGTTGGTCTTTATCCGGCATAATATAACATTTAAGTACTTCATGATACATTCATATTTTCTTAAAATTTATGAAAATAAGGCTATCATCAAATAAAAATTGCAATTATTACAAAGAAGCATTGTAATATTAAGAAGAATTACAGTGGATTTCGGGCATAACGACGATGAAGGGACCACTCTATTTTCGTCGTTATATCCGGAAGTCGTTACAGGCAAAGGTAACAAATTCAACACATTACAGTTGCTACTCAAAATATCACTTTGTAACTGAACCATAAATTTAACTCCGAAACGTACACGCTTCCCTACCTACTTAGCTGGTATCTATAAACAAAAGGTAAAGGTCTCCATACCTGGTGACGATCTGTGTGGATGTAAACAAAAGATAAGAAATGTTTTTGAAAGAAAGAAATCTTTAGTCGCTACACCCGAACCCCGCGTTACATCCGAAGTCGCTATATCCACATGAATTTTGTACTAAAATATGCTTTAAATTCAAGGAACTTAGATTTAACGTCGCTATAATAAATGGTCGCTACAACCAAGGTCGTAATAAATGAAATCCACTGTATTTTGTTTCTAGATATTTTTATTTTTGGTTTGATTTTTACTTTCCGTCGTAATCATTTATGTCTTTGGCTCTTTTTCATATTTGCAACATATGACGCAGTTGTACTTCCGTCGTTTTATTTCCTATTTATTAAGACTCATTCATTCTCTTACGATATAGACAATTTAAAAATTTTTCGTAGTTCAATAATCATTTTAAATTATTTCACAATTAAATCTAAACAACTTTTAACCAAAAGAGTGTTTAGTAATATTGCCATAAAAAAGCCCGTGTTAAACTTAACTTGACCTTGCTAGTTCTTTTCCGTTCAGCTACCGCGATTGGAACATGTCCTATTCACCTGAAAGAAGGTAAGTGTAATTTTTGTATAATATCGATATTAATTTTTGCAAAATAATTATAAAGAGCATTAGAGAAATTACTTTCTGATCAAAAGTTTTTGTCAAATTACTCTTCTTCATTGTACATCTAACGTATTAATTTATTCCCCACGGCCGCCGATTTGCCAACATGGCGCTGGCAGGAGAACTTATTACTAATTCGGTATAACGCACGTGTAATTTTGATGAAACTAGGTATTATTAACTAAACACTTGTAATACATATTTTTCAAATTGCTTGAAAATTTTCATTTAAATCCTAATGAAATCTGAATGCAAACAACTGTAATGCCACTTTGACAGCCGTGCGATTCATTATTTTTGCGTACTCACTATTATATTATGCCATGCCGTGTATTTTTCATTGAGTTTCCTTTGTATTTTTGCATCAAGTTTAAATTTATTTTTCACAGAACAGAGGATTGGCCGGAGGATCCTAAAAATGGACCGTCAAAAGACAATTACGATGGGTCTCCTGGTGCCGAGCACGAAACACTGGATACAAACTGGCATCAAGTCGTGGAAAGCTTTGATGACATGAATTTGAAAGAAGAATTATTGCGAGGAATATATGCTTATGGTTTTGAAAAACCATCTGCTATCCAACAACGAGCTATTATGCCATGTATCGAAGGGCGAGATGTTATAGCTCAGGCCCAATCTGGAACTGGCAAAACTGCTACGTTTTCCATTTCAATTCTTCAACAAATCGATACTAGTATTCGTGAATGCCAAGCACTCATTTTAGCCCCTACTAGGGAATTAGCCCAACAGATTCAGAAGGTATGATGCTGTATCAACATAATATGTTGTTATTGATTTATTTTTTTAAAAGATAATTTTTAAGTTTTCATTTTTTGTAGGTGGTTATAGCTCTTGGTGATCATTTGAATGCTAAATGTCATGCTTGCATTGGTGGAACTAATGTACGTGAAGACATGCGACAGCTGGAAAGTGGTGTGCATGTTGTTGTAGGTACACCAGGCAGAGTCTATGACATGATATCCCGTAGGGCATTACGTGCCAACACAATTAAACTTTTTGTACTTGATGAAGCTGATGAAATGTTATCTAGAGGGTGAGTCATATATTGCTAACATAAATAAAAATTGTATATTTGTAGACAATCAGACACTTAACTTTATTTTATTATTTATTTCTTTTTATTAATAGATTTCTTTTAAATTATTTCAGATTTAAAGATCAAATTCATGATGTATTTAAAATGTTATCAGCCGATGTTCAGGTTATTTTACTCTCTGCCACTATGCCTGATGATGTTTTAGAAGTCTCTCGTTGCTTCATGAGGGATCCTGTCCGCATTCTTGTGCAAAAAGAAGAGGTAGAGTAAATATTCCACAAATTTGTTATTAATAATATTGTTTTACATTAATATAAAACTCACAACTGTAAAGTATAGTACTTTGAGATCTATATTTTTTTTCAATATAAATGCCTCTGAGAATACTAGTATGAATTATGAAATGGCAATAGATTTTTTAAACATTAATTTAAAATTTACTTTGTTGTTGTTGGTTTTGCAAATTTTGATAACAATTATAATTAATAAATAAGTAAACACTCATTTTCCACCTATGAGGTAATCTAATAAAATTGAAAAAATATAACAGCAAGCAGTGTATAATACTTGTGAAACATGTAGGTATGTGACTTTGTTCTTTTCTACTTTTATAAAACTAAAATGGCAAACTTACAGTCCGCCTGGTTTTAAGTGGCTTCTGTAGTCCATGAATACCTGTCGCCAACTTTAAATAAAGAAGGCTACAGATGTGTTGTCACCTTTGACGATTGAATGCCTCACAGTCTGGCTTTCTATAATACCCTTCATAAAACACTGCTATTTGGCGGCAGAAATATACATATAAAGCCAGTCACCTAGAGGAATAGGCAGAGACTATACTCTCATTTAGTGCAATCCTGGCACACCTCTTTCTTAGACATCCATATAATATACACATACATGCTTGTCAGTTAAGGGTACTCATAACTTGGCTTGTCTTCAGTATATTACCAATTTGTTTGAGAAGTCTAGGGATGCCCTCACTTCTGCAGCATAAATTTGCATTGCCACTCTTTCTTTATTCATTCTTACCACATGTCCAAACTTCCTGGTTACAACATCTTGTAAACATAGTTCACTTATTATCAATTTTCACCATTTTTAATGACTGCATTTCTACTGCATTTATTTTATTCTCATGCTTCTTCTGACACACCCAACTTTCACTATCATACATTAAAGACTAACAACAACGTGAATTACCATACATGCCTTTTTTGACACATTCCAACTTCACTGTGTCCTGCCCCTGTCCAAGTTCTGGTCTACTGTTCTTATAATTATTATCTCAAGTCCAAAAATGAACAGAAACCTACCTGGAATTTACCCAAAAACTTGTCCATGATCATGTGCAAGGAACAGACCTAGTCCATACGTCTAATCCTCTTACTAAATCCAGATTTAAATACCCAAATTTATCTGTCATTTTCATTAATAACTCTTGACATCTTACGTTTTCGACAATTCTAAACAGACTGATTCCATTATAGTTATAATTTATAATAGTTATGCTTGATCTTATTCTATTGCCTATAAAGTGGGACTATACTTGTTTTGTACCAATTTCATGATACTTGTTTAAGTTCCCAGCATTAAGTATAGAAAGTGCTGGCACCACTTCTCTTCGGCCCTCTGAATTTCTTATGAATACCTGTTTTCATTCTTTTCATTGCCTTCATTTTTACTTATCTCACTACGTACTTTCTTTTCTTTTTTGTCGTATTAGATTTATAGATTAGTGCTTTAATTCTCTAATATTATTTCACTTGTATAATATTCTTAATGCTATATTATGTTCTTTTATAGCTAACACTGGAAGGTATTAAACAATTCTTCATATCTATTGAGGTGGAAGATTGGAAATTGGAAACTCTTTGTGACTTGTATGACACTCTGTCAATTGCTCAGGCTGTCATCTTTTGCAACACCCGCCGCAAGGTAATATTTGTCAATATTTTAATTGTATGCTTAATGTGTTTACAATTTTTAAAAGAGATATATACTATATTAATGAGATATATAGTTTCATTATTATAGTTTGTAATGATTCTCTCTGATGAAATTTAGTGTCTGTAATATCAAAATAACTTTGAGCTCAGGGGTTTATTTGCATGCTATTACAGTCCATTCACATTCTGAAAATAGTGAGTCATCATTGTCAGCTAGCCTAACAACTCCCCCCGATTAATCATAAAAATCTGTAACAAAAAAATTTGAATGTCAAGTTCATAGAGTGACCAGTTAAAAGCAGACTTTCATACGAAACCGTTGTGTCCTTTGTGTGTTACCTAAATTAAATTTGTAATGAATAACTCATATAATTGTAAGAATAAAAGTGGATAGATTAATTATATATAACTAGCTGTTCCCCGCGACTTCGCTCGCGTATTATAGTTTTTATGTTTTTGCGCGGAACCCTAATTCTTTTTCTAAAATAAAAGTAGCCTAAGTTACTCCTTATGAAATCAGCTACCTGTCAGTGAAAGTCCCGTCTAAATCGGTCCAGCCGTTTCGGAGATTAGCCGGAACAAACAGACAGACAAAAATTTGAAAAATTGTGTTTTTGTTATAAGTACCGTATATACTTTCATATGCAATTAGTAAAAAGATGTAATTTTGACATTACAAACAGACACTTCAATTTTATTTATTTGTATAGATTATACCATAGTGGTGAAAGACGAGTAATATAAAATGTAAGTGCTTTAAAATATATGATTTAAATGTGATTGATTGGAAAGCACAATACTAAAAACAGCAAAGTACTAGATATGAACAAATACAAGTACAATATATTAATGATAACTTTATTTTAAATTGAGATGAGTGAGTGGATTTTTATCCCTTAAACTTATTTTTTTTTTAAATATAAATGGTTTGTATTTTTACTCCACTGTGAATACGCTTTTATCCTGCAGATACACTGATGACTCACTACTTTATTAACTTTACTTGTCTGTCTGTGTAGGCTAATCTTCACAATTATTAAATTCTTTTTCTTCAAATCGAAGAAACTACCAGAAACATATAGAGTAATGCTAGTAATGATATGGGTTATAATTTATCCGAAAAACGTGATTTTTTGTGACTGAAAAAATTGATTGTTTTTGATAATTATCTCATAAACAATAAGAGATATAAAAAGTTTCAACAATATTTTTAGTTTTCAATTTTACATAAAAAAGGGTCTTCACATTTTTATCTCTTTTGTTGCAAAATCTATTTTTAATAATTTTATGTTTTCAACACCCATTTTATAACAATGGTATAATTGTTCAAGAATGAAGTGATAATTTAATTATGTAAAATGAATAGATCTTCATTTTTTATTTCAAACTTTTTCGAAAAATATACAGTCTTTATAATCTCAAAAACTGAGATGAATTTTATTGTTATTAACAATGCAATTTTTAAGACCGTTTTTAATTGTTTACAAACCTAACTTAGCCGTTTTGGCACTCAGTTGTCAGTTCTCATGGTTGGCATTTGTATTATATATTTTAAATTTTTAATTTTAGCATATATTTTAAAACTATTATAAATAATCTGCATTAGAAAAAACCACTAATATATCTGTTACACCATTTAGCTCAGTTAGTATTTCTCTGTTGTAACAGCATGTCAAATTATATCGCTATAAACATTATGCATTCTCATTAATACATTGTTTGTAACCTCGTTTAATTGATTTAGCAGTCTCCAGTTCAAGGTGTGGCATTTAAAGGGTGATCAAATAAAATTAAGCCATTATTACTTAATAAGTGATTAGCAACCCACCCTGGCTTAACATGAATAGGATTTATTTATGTGGTGTTATTTAGATTTAAAATAATCAAACACAATTTATTTTATAAATTTTTGGTTTTTACAAAAAATATCTTTAAGTTTTTCGGATACAATATAGCCAAGATCCCTCTGGGCATTGCTCTTTATCTATTCGTAAAATTTCATCACCATCGGTTCAGCTATTCCGAAGATTAGCCCGTACAGATTGACAGACAAAACATTTATAAATGGTAATTTTTGATGTTACAGACTTCAAAATTTTGTTGTATGTATAGATATATTAATATAAAGCTCATATAAAGTTTCTAGTAACTACATAACAATTAAAATGATTTGGCTGATTAACTGTCTAATAATTGCTTGTCTCTTTTCAATAATTTTACAAATAACACAAAAAAACTAGCAGACCAGATCTCGCAATTCTTATTTTGTTAATTCATATAGCACCTCTTCCTCAATTGGTCTTCAATTATACAAAAATTACCCTAAAAAAAAACTAGTGAATAAAAACCATGTAAAACTTAAATGTTTTGTTTCACTTTGAATGTCTTTGAATGAAACTATTAATTAAACAAATTATGTTTATCAAAGCAAAAGAGTCCTTATAAAGGAGGGTGACCCAAAAGCTTTATTGGTGTGAGCTGTCCAGGATGTCCCTCGTTTTGAGCGCCGAGTGTGCGGTTGTCATGGTAAAGCAGTATCCTGCAGAGCCCAGTGTTTAGTCGCTTGTTGCTCAAAGCAAAAGCTCAAAAGTAGATACTTCTGGCAAACATTTGGTAGTATTCCATTCGGCATTGATTTTAAAATTAATAACTGTCTTTTATATTAGAATAATGGAAGAGGATACCAACCTTAACATTTCCAAGAAGGGTGGACTCCCTAAAACTATAATACATAATATAATAATAAATACTATACTAATAAAAATAAATTACTTTTTTAATAAATGAAATTAAAAATATATTTCAAATGTACAAATTCTGACTTACTGAATCTGTCATAAACAGAAACTGAGCAAAACCGAATGATTGTTGTTTATGCCTTGGTAGACATAAAAAAATTATCTATTTACTGTATTTTGTTGTTGAATTTGTGTTTTGTCTTTATATGAAATGAATTTTACTCTGCCATCTGCTAAAGTTTAATATTAATAGTATAATAATATATTAATAATAATTAATTTTGGGTGGTTTTTTAGGTGGACTGGCTCACAGAGTCTATGCACCAGCGCGATTTTACTGTATCGGCCATGCACGGCGACATGGACCAACGTGAGCGTGAGGTTATCATGAGGCAGTTCCGCACAGGTTCCTCACGTGTGCTTATAACTACCGACTTACTGGCACGTGGAATTGACGTACAACAAGTATCATGTGTCATTAATTATGATTTGCCTACTAATCGTGAAAACTACATCCATCGGTAAAATCTTCAATAACTTTGTTTTGAAAAATAAGGTATTTTTACTACAGAAATTAGTATAACAACTTATTTTATTCTAGGATTGGAAGAGGTGGTCGTTTCGGCCGTAAAGGAATTGCAATTAATTTTGTGACTGAAGCTGACAAGAGAGCATTGAAGGACATTGAGGACTTCTACCATACAACTATCACGGAAATGCCCAATGATGTGGCCAACCTCATCTGAGGTGCCTGTGCATTCCGGTTTATACTTTGTGTCCTGCATTCTATTGCGATATTTATACGGTGTGAGTATTAGGAGGGGCCTCCTAAGTACCACTGTGTTGATTTTTTTATTGGAACTCATTTGGACCGATATATCTGTTTTAGTTTTATTAATGAATACATTATACTATAGACGTATCAATATAAGTTTAATAAACCTAGTAGTAAGACCGGCACGGCCGGATGGCCCCCGTTCCGCGTAGGCCTCTCTGTCGTTTGCAGAGAGGTCTCATCGGGTACTGGAGAGGCTATTTCAATCACAAGAGCACTAGAAGGAAATAATATATTGTAACTTTTTTTTCCAGTTGTACATAATATGGTAACTGTTTTTGTAATACGGTAAATAAATAAAATTAAATACATTACCTGTATTGTTATTGTCTAAAGTGTAGCACTCCATTCCCGATCGGAACCTAAATTTCTCGTGGCGCATTTTACTCACTTTTACCAATTTTGTTTACAGAAGACCTACCTACTCAGCCTGTTGAAACACACTGGACACAACTATGTGGAAATAATAAATCAAAATTTCCTCAATAAATTACTTTCTTTTGACAGGTCCTTGTTGTATCCTGTATCCCTATACGTACTGCTTTTTGCATTTTGTTTTTCTACATGGTTTTATGTTCAATTCGAATTATTTATATTTTTGGAATAAATTTTGTTCAAAGTATAATGAAGTTGATAATTAAGGTTCCTTATTTTACAGATTATTATAAGGTTTAAAATGGAACTGTTCTAAGAGAAAATAGCAATATTAAACAATAGAATTTAAAATAATTTTCAGAACAAAACACAAAACTTATGAATCGAATACCAACAGTTTTTTCGATTATTATTGTTTACTATTTATTATTATTGTAACATGGATTTAAATAAAATGCTACATATTACAGTAAATATTTCTAATTTCTTACGGGAATACGAAATTACCTATGGTGTTCTATCCAAGCTGTAATATAATGAAACACAATTTAGGAAGTATAATATATTATGAGTAAATAACAATGCAATACAATAACATGTATATTAAATTGCCTATCTTAACTAGGTTTCTAATAAATTAATATCACATTTCTGGTAATATTCAGTTTAACAAGTAGATAATAAGACCAAATTTTAAAACAATGTCATAAAAATGCAAAAAGAAGTATTAACAACAAAACCGACACTGGGAAAAATATATAGACTGTAGTACGTGGACGACATACTGATGTCAAAATAAAAGAATTATCATTTTTAAAACCACCAGTTGTGGGCACTTCTACAATTACTAATTCATCGCTAAACATACTTATATCAAATTCACATTCTGTGCTGTTGAGACACACTTTAGATTCAGACATATTTGTATATTGGAATGTTGGTTTGTAGATATCGAATATTACGTGAATATCATTTTTCACCATATCGTTGTCACTATAAAATATATAATAATAATAACCGTCGGTCAGCACTTTGTGCTCAACTTTTAAAGTCGTAGTATTTTCCAAATAACTAGTACTATTACATTCTTTAGAATAAGGAAAAAAATTATTCATAAGTATGTTTTCGTGATAACACTCATGCAAATTATTTTCGAAACTAGATATTGAAGCATCTTCTGTTATGTTAGGAGTATTGTTTGCATTACCACCGTGATAAACCCCAGTGTCCAGCACAGTGTTTGGATTATGCAATGGTGGGTTTCCAACAGATCTTTTATGAACGGTTTTATTGAAATGTATATTCATTGTGTCTTCTACCAAATTTCTAAACAATTGTTCTTTAGAATGCTCTTTATCTCTCTTTTTCTTGTGATCCAGAGAAATCTCAGTAGTTTGTTCATTATTTCCCTTTGGACTTTCTAATGTTACTGATAATTGATCTGGATTATCTATTAAAGACGGGTCCTTTTTATATTTTCTACCATCTAGAATTCCACAAGTGTCGAGTATTTTTTCACCTTTAACAACTAATATTTTCGAACCTTCATATCTAGAACAAGCTTTTAAATCAACTGTTGCTCCAGCAAAAAGGAAAAATCCCCAGTATTCTAAAGTGTCATCTGGTAATGTCATAGATTTCTTTAATTTAATATGTCTCCTTTTGCTGGATAGTTCAGGTCTACCTTTCATTTGAAATGCATTAAAGGTGTTATTCATTTTTAAGGAATGTTTTTCACAAAATATTGACGATTGCCCTTTATGAATTTGGATAACATCTGAATCTGATATTTTATACATAACATCTGCATATCTTATATTTCGTAAATATAAAGATGATACTATAAGTGTGGTGGGTAAAACTGTAGTCAGTAGGCAAAACATTATAACTCGTTGAGATCCGTGCATTTTTCCTCTATCTATAAAACAAAAAAATAATAGTTTTAATCTGGGCAGAGTTCTATATGAAAACAGCAAACGTGTTCATTTGCTAATACTAGAAGAAACACATAAAAATATAAACTAATTTCAAACACTTGCAGATCTATATTTGCAAAAAGCACTGATTAGTCTGCGTATTATTTTATTCATATTTCAAATAAATTAAATAATCTGTAGAAAAGTTTAAATAAAGTTTTATACGTGGTAGAGCCATGCTGCAGCTATATTTCTGGTATAGTTGTAGCACGAATGGGTCGGCTCGACCGGGGAAGGACCACGCTCTCACAATACCAGCGTAAAATAGCAGCTTGATGCAGCTGTGTTTCGTATGGTGAGTGTAGAGAACCAGAGACCCTTTTTACTGGAAACGAGGCATTCCATCTTAGTCCTCACGGGTGACGTATCTGCATTTTGATTTGTAACCGAGGATAAATGTAGATGTCTATGGGCCACATCAACCACTTCCATCAGGTGGACTGTGTGTGTAAAAAAACATTTATTGCTAATAATTTTATTTTAGAATCAGTCTTACAGTTTGCAATATATGATTATGTAACTTTCTTTAGTAAAAATTGGTCTTCAAATCAAGAAGACAATTATAATTAGCAAACAATAAATTCTAAACGCGAGTGTTAATTTCTTAAACATTATCAATATGAGTATTAGAATAGTGAATGGAATTATAATCTAGGGGTAGTAAGAATTAAAATGTTAACTCACTGTAATAATTGGCAAAAATGGCAATCAAAATTAGACAATTAAATTAAAAATGTGAGTAATTAACGTTTAACTAGGGTAAAAAACAATCCTGACCTAAACTTGTACATTACAATTGCCTATAATAAAAAAAAAGTATTTATATTTTTATAGAGGCTAATTGTGGTTTAAAAGCAGAAACCGCCCTTTCTGGCAGCAACCTATTACTTTTGGTTTTGTATATATTGCCAGCTTAGGATAAGTCTCTGTATGTGGTAGAGCCATGCTGCAGCTATTAGTAGTATAGTTGTAGCACGAATGGGTCGGCGCGACCGGGGAAAAGGACCACGACCTCACAGAATACCAGCGTGAAGTAGAGGTATACCTCTGCGTTGCGCTTGGTGAGTGCAGGTGGCCGGAGGCCCAATCCCCCCCCCCCCATCAACATGGTAGTGGAATTAAATAAAAGACTACCCCAGGAGGGTACCAGCACCCCTGGAAAATCCCTCGCTGAGCATCCACGACCAAACTACTGCACTCCTGAGCGTGGGTGCTCAGGCTGCCCCGCGTATTCTGGGGGGGGGGGGGGGCTCGCGACTAATGCTGCTCGGGGCAAGCGACCAAGGCGACCCCTGTCACGCTATACGTGAATTTTTGCAACATCAGGTGATTTCATTCCAACCTTAACGCTGTCCATTACTATCTAGAGACGGCGAAGCCGGCCTTGCTCTTTTTAACCGAGACTTCATATCTCTCCTACCCGGAGTACAAATTGGAACACTTTTTTATGCCCCGGACTGGGGTTTGCGTATACGTCAGAGAGGACATCTGTTTTCGACGCCTCGACAGTCTTGAAGGTACGGACCTGTCCATCCTATGGCTGCGCGTAGACAGCGACGACCATCCCCGCGTCTACGGGTGCCTCTATAGGTCCCATAGTGCTAAGACCGACACAGACCGACTCATCGACCACCTCCAAATGGCTGCAGACTCCGTGCTACAACAGGTCCCATCCGCAGAGATCGTGATACGAGGGTGGATTGAAAAGTACTCGGCCTAACCAAGAAAATAAACAAATACTAAATCAGTTATATTTTTATTTTTCTACATAATCACCATCAAGTTCAATACACTTTTGCCACCTCCCCTTCCAAGCATTTAGACCGTTGAAAAAAAATGATTCTTCCTTAGAGTCAAAATATGCGTCTACAGCTGTTTTGACCTCGTCGTTTGTCGAAAATCTTTGACCTCCCAAGTGCTTTTTTAGGTTAGGGAACAGAAAGAAGTCTGATGGTGCCAGATCTGGTGAATACGGCGGATGCGGTAACAGTTCAAAGCCACAGTTGTGAATTTCAGCCATTGACTGTACTGACGTGTGAACACGGGCGTTATCTTGATGAAACAGGACTTTTCTTCTGAGCATTCCTCGACGTTTTTCTTTTATTTCCTCTCGTAAACGACGTAGTAAGGTGCAGTAGTAATCAGAGTTTATATTCTGACCCCTTTCAAGATAATCAATCATAATCACACCTTTCGAGTCCCAGAATACTGAAGCCATCACCTTATTTGCCGACAAAATCGACTTAGCCTTTTTAGGGGGTGGTGAACCAGGTCTTCTCCACTGTTTTGATTGTTGTTTTGTTTCCGGTGTACAGTAATGAACCCATGTTTCGTCCATAGTAACAACGATTCAAAAAATCATCTGCATCGGCTTCAAATAACTCCAAACAGTCGCGTGGAATAGTCAATCGCGTCCTTTTTTGTTCAACTGAAAGCAGTCGCGGAACCCACCTCGCAGACACCTTGTGGAAACCCAACTCGTTGACAATGATGTTTTGAGTTCGTTCATAAGAGATGCCTATAATCTCGGCTATCTCTCTAATTTTTAATCTGCGGTCTCCCATTATTAAATCAAGTACTTTTTTAATATTTTCGTCAGTAGTTGACGTCGAAGGCCTTCCAGAGCGGGGTTCATCTTTCACACTCTCTCTACCACGCTTAAATTCTGCTATCCATTTTTTGACGGATGAATATGACAGAGCACAATCGCCTAATGTACTGACCATGTCATCATGGATGGCTTTTGATGATAGCCCCTTCTTATGGAGGTACTTAATGACGGCACGCTGATCGATTTGCTCCATTCGCGGAAATTATGTCCAATTACTTTGTTAATAAATTTATAAAATCACAACTAATTTTCGCACACGTTTCGAACTTCACACAATGAACTAGTCTGAACTGAACTAAATAATGTGGGTAGATTTGATTTTTAGAATTGAATGGATCTGTGTTAGGCCGAGTACTTTTCAATCCACCATCGTACTTGGTGATTTTAACGCCCACCACGCTGAATGGCTTGGTTCTCGTTTAACCGATCATGCGGGTAGATCTGTCTATGACTGCTTTGGCATATGGTCTAACACAACTGGTTACTTCGCCTACGCGGATCCCAGATGTGGAAGACCATGTACCTTCTCTGTTGGACCTTCTGCTGACCTCTCATCCGGACGGATATCAGGTCTCCATCGATGCCCCTCTGGGCTCTTCGGACCATTGTCTGATCCGGAGTACGGTGCCACTCACGCTCCAATCGCAGTTGCGATCTGCAGCTTGCCGCCGTGTTTGGCACTATAGGTCAACTGATTGGGACGGGATGCGGTCTTTTTTGCATCCTTTACCCTTGGGGGCGGGTTTGCTTCTCGCCGGAAGATCTCAGCGTTGTTGCCGATTCTGTTGCTGATGTGGTACTTCAGGGCATGGAACTTTTTATTCTATCCTCTGTGGTGCCCATCGGAGGCAGATCCCAGCCGTGGTTTGGTTGCTCCTGTAAAATAGCATCACGCTATAAGCAGGAGTGCTACCGGGCCTGGGCTGACGCATCAACGTCTCGGGATGTAAACACCAGCGCACTTAAAAAGAAGTATAACTCCGCCTCCAGGTCCTTCAAAAGCGTCATTGCCAAGGCAAGGTCTGAGCACATCGGCAGAATTGGCGAGAAGCTAGTTCGCCTTCCTTCGGGAACCCATGCATTCTGGTCTCTCGCCAAGGCTGTCCAAGGGAACTTCTGTCAGCCATCTCGTCCATCTCTGCACAGAGAGGACGACTCACTGGCCCATGCCGCAAAGGAGAAAGCCGATCTGTTGAGCTCTCTTTTTGCGTCCAACTCGACTCTAGATGACGGGGGAACACACCGCCGACCATCCCGCGATATCAGTGCTACATGCCGGATGTGCGGTTTACACTGCGCTCGGTTCGCAAAGCACTCTTCTCCCTGGACGTCGGCAAGTCGAGTGGGCCCGATGGAGTCCCTCCCATTGTACTGAAGACGTGTGCTCCGGAGTTGGCACCGGTTTTAACGCGTCTTTTCCGGTACTCCTACTCCCAAGGCGTAGTCCCGAATTCATGGAAGACAGCTTTGGTCCACCTGATCCCTAAAAACGGCGACTGCTCAGACCCGTTCAACTACAGGCCTATTGCCATCACCTCCTTGTTCTCCAAAATAATGGAATCCATAATAAACTGCCAGCTCATGAGGTACCTTGAGGATCATCAGCTGATTAGTGACCGCCAGTACGGTTTTCGTCGAGGTCGATTAGCTGGTGATCTTCTAGTCTATCTGACTCATAGATGGGCGGAGGCAGTAGAGTCCAAAGGGGAGGCATTGGCCGTTAGTTTGTACATAGCGAAGGCCTTCGATCGGGTCTGGCACAAAGCGCTTCTTTCGAAGCTTCCTTCCTATGGGCTTCCCGAGAAATTGTGCAAATGGATCACCAGTTTCCTTGCTGATCGGAGCAACAAGGTCGTAGTAGACGGTGCATGCTCTGATTTCAAGCCTATCAACGCTGGTGTTCCACAAGGCTGCGTGCTATCACCAACGCTGTTTCTCCTGCATATCAATGATATGTTGCTAACTGGTAGCATTCATTGCTATGCAGACGACAGCACTGGTGATGCCTTATATACCGGCTGTGCCAATATTTCTCGGGAAAACGTCGCTGAGTACCGGGACAAACCTGTGTCTAAAGTCGAGTCTTTACTTAACAAAGTCTCGGATTGGGGCCGACTAAATCTAGTCCAGTTCAATCCCCAGAAGACACAAGTTTGCGCGTTTACCGCTAAAAGAACCCCTTTGTCGTATCTCCTCAGTTTCAAGGCACTCCTCTTGCTGCCTCAGCTAGTATCAGAATCCTTGGGGTCGACATATCGAATAGTATGCAGTTTCGTGGTCACTTGGAAGGGAAGGCCAAATTGGCCTCTAAAAAGCTTGGCGTGCTCAGCA